CGAGAGGGAGCGCAGAGCCGCTTGCAACTCATCATATATATATATATATATATATATCCATGTGTGTCTAAAATGTAAGCAAGAATCTCGTAAACCAAATGATCTCATTGATCAGCTCAGCCATCATGACAAATAATAACATCCATCAATCACTTATTAAAGATGTCACCCAACTTTCAAAACTCATTTCTTTTACCCAGGTATTAGGGATGACCAACACACCATCAATATTTGATACCAAATGGTAATACCTGACATCTACATCACAGTCTTTTATCAAGTCACTTGAGAAAACTAACATACAGTACAATATGTACAACTTCAATTATTTTATTAATTTTCTCATTTATGAATAAAATGGAAGGTAAGAAGAGAAATGAGACATATTGTACAAGATATATTACTTCAGTTATTTTATTAATTTTCTCTATCTCCATTATCTCTCTAATCCTACAACTCAGGGATCCTTAAACACAAGATCTTTTATGGGATTGTATGCTCACAAACAATATGAGACCCTACATCTTAAAGGATTCAATATATAATTTTTTTTTACTACGATAATTAAAAGGTAAGTCAATGTTCCTAAATATGTACATATAATTTTATTTTTATTAGTTATTTAATACTTTTAGAGGCATTTACATACATACCAACCATTTTTTATGTATTTACACATCTAACACCTAAATTTTACCTTTTACAATTATACCATCCAAATATTTAAGTAGCAAATATGTAAAAATTGTGATTTTTTAGTTTCATACCTACTTTCTAAGACAAATATACGCTTTGGTAGAAACAAATTTCAAGTTAATTTATTTCATAATTTTCATTTATAAGGGCATTAAGTAGAAATTAATGAAACTAATTATGACGTCAGGCTCCCACACTACGGTTTACTGACCAAATTGCAAAAAAATATTTACATGTTGAGAGTGGGATTTGAACCCACGCCCTTTCGGACCAGAACCTTAATCTGGCGCCTTAGACCAACTCGGCCATCTCAACTTTTATTTGATTTGTTAATAATTTTAGATTAAAACAAAACTAATTTCTCATAATTGTTCAACTTTGATTTTTACATTCATACCACCCAAAATTTTCATATCAAACAAAAAAATCACTATTTTGACTTTTAAAAAGTGAAATAAGCATTTTAATGCAATGATAAGATAGCATATCTATAAAAATGAAAATTTAGGGTCTGTTTGGGGCAGCTGTAGCTTATTGAATAATGTGTTGATAAGCTAGGTGTAGTTATTATTACAAATTTTTATTTTTTTAAAAAAATCAGACCGTTGTCAATAAGCTCCCACCGCACCTAGATAGGTGCGGGGTGAAAACGCTGTTTTATGCGTTTTGAAAACGCATAAGCTG